TCTGCGATAGTCCCCGACGCCGAATCCTTCTTCGCATTTCAGCGATGTTACCAGCTGCTGGTATTCAACCGGTTGTCCGTATTTATGAGCAATTTTTAACAAACAACAACGGCAATATATAAGCACCTCTCAATGCAGTCTAGGCAGAATTATGCTACGTGGGAAATTTACCCCGCGTTAGCCACATGTTGTAACCCACTCGCGAGCCTGCGCGCAAACATTCTAGAGGATCACATCATCTCGGATACACATCTTGCCTTAACATTCTCTACAGCAGTACCAACGCCATCTCCAATGACTCATGCTGGTCTTGCGTCATCTCACCTGTTCCGTGAAAGGTGAGATGCAGGACGTAGCTCATACAAACCATTACGTGCCTAGCCCCTGCCTCATTCCGACTCGAAGGTGGCGACTGAATGATTACTAACATGAGGCCAATATCGGTTGTAATGAATCCAGCTCATCTTATATTTGCAACGGCATTCGTTGGCCACAGGAATTATACGATTTGGTTGAATTCACTCTGCGAAGTCAGTCTCTCTTTTCATTTCCTCCTTTATTGTATCAGCGGGAACTTACCTGGGCACACGAGATAGCAAGTGCAGCACACGCGTAAATCGGGTGATGTTAGCTTTTAAATGTGCAGTGTTATTTGTTAATTATCAAAATACTCCAATTTGCCTTATTTGCTGGGTTGTTCGTTTTGGTGTCGACCAACCCAAGGAATGCAATCCAAGAGCTGTATGACTTACCACCGTGCATGTAAGTGCAAACGAGAGCTTAATATAAATTGCACTGTCGATGGTAGGACACTTCATTGTCAATAAGCTAACGATGTTCTGTTTGTGATACTTACCTGTTTCGGGCATCGTAATGTAAAGAGAAAGAGAGGGGAGAAAGAGAGAGAGAGGGGGGAGAAAGAGAGTGAGAGAGAGAGAAAGAGAGAGAGAGAGAGAAAGAGAGAGAGAGAGAGAGAGAGAGAGAGAGAGAGAGAGAGAGAGAGAGAGAGAGAGAGAGAGAGAGAGGAGAGAGAGAGAGAGAGAGAGAGAGAGAGAGAGAGAGAGAGAGAGAGAGAGAGAGAGAGAGAGAGAGAGAGAGAGAGAGAGAGAGAGAGAGAGAGAGAGAGAGAGCGAGAGAGAGAGAGAGAGAGAGAGAGAGAGAGAGAGAGAGAGAGAGAGAGAGAGAGAGAGAGGAGAGAGAGAGAGAGAGAGAGGAGAGAGAGAGAGAGAGAGAGAGAGAGAGAGAGAGAGAGAGAGAGAGAGAGAGAAGTTACAAAAACGAATTTATTACTCACTTGTAAAAACTAGCAATCTAAGCGTAAGGACAAATCCGCAGGTTGCAATTTTGCGAATCAGGTTTGATGGCGTCAGAGCTTTACTACGACACGGTTTACGACGGGATTGAATTTATAATTTCATATTCCACACGAATTTGACGGACCGAAAGCGACAAAGAGACAACAGTCAGGAAAGGGTCCTTTAAATACCGAATTGAGGCTGAAAGCAAGAAAAGAGACAAAACGATAAATGACACCACTTTGAATACTATACAAGGACAACATGGGCTACAAATTTAAATCATACAAATCTCTCACTGAACAATTTTTTTCAGCAAAATCAATAGCAACTTCAGATGGATTCCATCAAGTAGCCTGGACGTTTGAAACACCATACTTTAAACCCCGCCCCTACAAAGGGTCAAGGCCATCCTCCTCCCCGCGAGGTTTTCCTAGAACAATTTTAAAGACTTTTGAGCACGGTACCGTTTTGCTTCTGGGTTAATGCGATTTATACCTGGTGTGAAAGCTAGAAGCTCATGATGTGAACAGATTATATCTATGACGTTTTTCTCGAGGTCACTTTGATTTCATTGCACTCAAAAGCGACCAATAACGTGTTCTTGTTTATTGCAGGAATTGCTCTGTGCCCAACTTGCATGGACTGCTTCCATAAATTTGATCATGCTTAAGCACATTAATATCGTTCTGGCTGTTTTTGAAAGGTCGGTTCATCCAAGTTCAAGCTAAGTCAAAACTTAACTTCCGTGACGTGACTTCCTCTTTTCAATGCAATGCAATTTGTTACTTGTTATCACATATGTTACAGATTTGAAAGGCTTTCTCATGCCTTTTCCCCCATTAACTTAGCTAGCTTACTTTTTTACAGCCGGACGGTCCAGCACGACAGTCGCATGCGCCCTTTGGCCTGACATGATATCGTAGGTCATCTTTGATGTCTACTAGCGCCCATGTCATAAGGCTTATTAAGAGCTATTCAACGACGTAGTGGCAATTCTGCATTTTCGTAGCATGTTTGGTTCTTACGGTAATAGGAGACGTCTTCAAAGTGCTTATTCGACCACTCTGACTTGATCTGAATTTCCAAAGATCACGCTCATCGCCGTTCAGCCACATCTATCTGATGCAGTTTTGCGAGAGCTTCACAATGTCGTTTTCCGTGTGGCTCTAGCTCGCTGAGCTTTTTTTAGATTGATAGGACCTCTTGAGGTCCATCATCATGGAGTAAATTTGACGAAACATATTTCCGGGACGAGGATTAATTCCTGTTAAGGTGGCTGAAATGCCCAGAAGCTAGCAATCTTGCATTAATAATGCATAAATCATATTCATTCTGATCTTGCCAGCAATGTTGCTTGAGTCAAGGGCGATATAGTACAATCATTACGTGTCTGATGTAGATCGCCCCGCATACTGCAAACCGCAGAGAGAGTGCTCCGCATTTGTATGTGTTTTGAACCGATGCAACTGCTTTTTAAATGATAAAGTGCAGTGCATAGCCGTGCCATCTTTCATGCTTAAGACTTCCTTGTTTTTTTAGCTTGTTGCCTGCAAACTTGTGCAGACTATTCCAAGGTCACCTAGGCATGTACGACGCCATGGAAACGTCACGCGAAGTCTCCGCCTCAATAGCTATGTAGTTCTCAAGATTAACAAAAATATGATCAGCGAATTATTCGTGTTTGCCGCATGTCAGCACGATGCATGACACCAACGAACATCCTCTGACCTTCATCTTGTTGTATCCGTTGAGCACAAGTTTCGGACACGAGTAGTGTTTTGTGCTGCATATTATAGGAATTTGGGCATCGGTCCTTGTCATGACGGAAATACGTGACTGCCTTATATACGTGAAAAATAGTGAAATACTGTCTACGCGGATGCCAGTAAAAATATAGCGTCATGGACAGGTACACAACACCACTAGAAATTGCCAAAACACAAGCACATAGCGATATTGGGGTTCAACAAACACGCAGTAACAAACGCCATCACCTCCCGTCCGGTTAAGTACTACAGTGAGTCAGCCCATCTACGGTAGTGGCAATTCTGGCGCAGCCAGTGTGGCAGCGGCTCTGGCGTCACAAAGACGTTCCATGACGTAATCAAGTGGTGATGTGCTGAGGAACATATCTAATAGGTAGTGAACGTTTGTCATCTAGAGCAGTCCTTTGCACACTAAATAATCCAAAAGTTGTAAAGGAGCTTATTGTATCATGTTTAATGGGTGCCCGAATATCTTCAAACGTGAGTCTTCTTTTTAAAGTCATAGGGTGGATTAGTAAACAGTTATATCGTTCTGGATGCTGTCCCGCCGGGTTTGCATGGTGCTTGCACAAATTGTAGTTCAACAAAGCAGTTCCGAAACATTGATTTCCTTGCAATTCTTTGGAAGGTCAAAGACCCGTACTTTGCAAGGCTTTAGCTTAACTTATCTCAGCACCAAATCTGTAAGATCCCTTTGCACCGGACGTCTGGACGGTTAAGTAAACTCTGAGTGAGCGCTCGATAACATTTATGTTCTAACACATATAATCCAAACCATTTGATCGGATGAATTTCTGGGCCAGCGTTCGTGTTAGCAGCGTTTTTTGGTAATAGCTTAACGTGCTGGCATGCGCAGCAGGGTCCTTTTTTGCGCTCTTTTACAGGAATTGCAGGAGTTACCGACTGCAGGCCAGCCTAGTCGGGTACAAACAGCGAGCGCCTAAAGTGACTTTAGCTCACCATGCCACAGGGGGGGGGGGGGGGGGCAGGGGTGCTGAAGCCGGACGCTCTAACCAACCAAAGCCAACTTCGGTATCGCGCCAGGCTGAAATGGGGACGAACGGAGCCTCCCCAAACGTTCCGTGTGATGTGTGACACGTAACGTTATAGCCAACATGCCTATAACGGAGTACATGGTTTATCCCCCAATGCTCGTAAGATGTGATCACCGTCAGGATTCATCGCTTTTGTGGTCTCTGATTTTGGCGCTACTTTCATATAATACTAAACATGCAGCCAGATTTTCGAAAGGTAAGCAAAGTTCAACCATACGATGGCTGCCATGCTTGCCTTCTCATAACCCTATTGGTGCCAGCTCATGCAGCTGAAGATCTTTCCAAGGCATGCCAACCGGAAACAGTGCATATATAGGCCTTTCCACAGCGAACTGTGCCATTTCCAATCATCTCGCCAGCAGTGCTTTCATCCGCCGTCACTGCAGTGTGATGCGCTGCGCCCACCGGCGCTTCGCTCTGCGCGCGAGAGCTGGTCAGCTGGTGCCGGTAGCCTCCTGCCCGGATCGCTGACCTGGCTCGGGTCGGGAGGCGCTGAAGGCCTGCCGAGCGCTGGTCCGGATGCGGCCGCAGCCAGGTCCGGCACAGGGAGGAATCTCGTTGACCTGGCTTGGGTCGGGAGGCGCTGAAGGCCTGCCGAGCCCGAGGCGGCTGGTCCGGATGCGGCCGCAGCCAGGTCCGGCACAGCGAGGAACCTATCTGCCTCCCTGTACCGGACGCTCACGCCTCCGAAGGTTGTGTAAGCTGCACCGTAGCGTGTGTCTCGCCGGGAGAGCTGTTAGGCTCACTTAGCGAGCATCCGGTGGTCTCCTGGCCTCGGCAGTGCACACGGCGTGCCGAGGCTTGGGGTGCGGTCGGGCAGCGTGAAGCCGATTACAAACGCAGTTAAGGTAACCAGAACCGCCCGCACGCCACAACTGCAGGTGATCAGCATGCGAGTGAAGTGGCTGACATGTCGCTCGACCTGCTGCAAGGCATCCAGAAGTTCGAGGTGCCGCACATCAAAGGCCAGCTGGTGCAGATACGGATCGGCCTCAACACGGGGCCGTGCGTGGCAGGTACGTCTGGCGTGGCGCGGTGACACTGTCGAGGGGTGCGCACCCCCAAACAGGCATCGACGAGCTTGCATATGTATAAAAATATATATACATACATATATGCATGTATATGTATATATATACATATATATATATATATATATATATATATATATATATGTGTGTGTGTGTGTGTGTGTGTGTGTGTGTGTGTGTGTGTGTGTGTGTGTGTGTGTGTGTGTGTGTGTGTGTGTGTGTGTGTGTGTGTGTGTGTGTGTGTGTGTGTGTGTGTGTGTGTGTGTGTGTGTGTGTGTGTGTGTGTGTGTGTGTGTGGTGTGTGTGTGTGGTGTGTGTGTGTGTGTGTGTGTGTGTGTGTGTGTGTGTGTGTGTGTGTGTGTGTGTGTGTGTGTGTGTGTGTGTGTGTGTGTGTGTGTGTGTGTGTATGTATGTATATAACTACTATTTTTCCATGAGATGTCAGCGTTACGTTTTTGTTAGGAATGAATTAACCGTTCTTGAAAATTGGTCATGTGGTTAGGTTACACTTGTTAGCTACCCTTGCAGTACATCACAAGGGATTTTTATTTCGTTGTGAAGTCAGCAGTGTTCCACAAGTGCTTCGGGATGCAAAGACGTTTCTTTGAATTTTCACCGCAGCTTGCTTAGTTAACTCTCAAGAACAGAAATAACGGACTTGTCTCACTTGCATCTTAAAAGCTTTTTACAAATGGGTGCCCTATCGATGCGGCGGAGCAGTCAGAGTTCATTTCCCCTCAAGCTGGAAAATATTGGACGTGAAGTCTTTGATGCCTGCTGTAGGACCGAAGGAATACGCCGATGGACCCATACGTCCTACTCTTCGATGAACATGGTGTCAGTGCTGCAACCTGACTGCAGCGTAACTCTGAGACTAACTCTGAGGCTAACTCTGAGGCTAACTCTTCGGCACAAATTTGGTCAAATGTCACCGCTGATCCACTCAGCCCATATTAATGCATTATGGTGGCCTCGTGGGGTATGTGTTACTTCAGCTGCAGGTGGTTTTGTTCGATATAGACGGAGGTGGTTAATGAGCTGACAGTTTGATGCGTGTCATGTCGTGGCCTGAATGGCATGTCAGGAATGCACTGACCCAGTCCCTGAGCCTCTGGCTGAGCGTTTTCCGTCCTGTCTTGGCGTCCAACGCTGCCGACTCCGCGCCTGGGCTCCCTCTGCCTCTGACCGTGCTGCCGGTGACCTCCGACAGGTGTGGTGGGCACCAAGATGCCTCGTTACTGCCTGTTTGGTGACACCATCAACGTGGCATCGCGCATGGAGTCGACCGGACTTCGTGAGTTGACAAGACGTTCATCGTGGTGTCCTTGGTTTAGCGCCAGGTTGACGACTTGGCCTTTTTCTGCACGGGTTGAGTTGGGTTATGTTGTTGCGATGTTTCTATGCGAATGTGGAAGAAGTGCGCGTTGAGTAAGGAGCTTCACGGAATGCTAACTTGCGTCTGTTTCGACTCTTTGACATGTAGTAATTATATGCTGTATTTGGAAAATGTACTACATATTGCAGATGACTTGTGTCGCGATGCTTAACTGACGCAAACGCCAGTGCACTCTATTTCTCATAAAGGTACTCATTTTCCAGACGCATTACTCATTGGAAGCGTGCCCAGCGTCTGAATGCACTGTCGGGACACTTTCCATTTTCCAGCACAAATGGTGCACGTCAGCGACACCACGCACGAGCTCCTGGCCAAGACTGGCGGATATAAGCTTGAATTTAGAGAGGATGTCGAAATCAAGGTGAGCTCTCCCTTTCGGTTCGGTACGATTCCCAGCACACGGGCTTGCGGCAGTGTGATATAGTCATGACAGGGCAGCACCGATTACCACACACGGAAACTCGTTTTTGGGCGCAGGATGCATTGGCACTCAGCATGCTTTTCAGCAGACTTGCCCACAGATTTTAAAAGACTTGAAAGACTTTCCAGAAGTGGTCGCCAGTGGCTTGTGCTAGACAAAACTCAATATTTGAACACGGATGTGAGGGCAGGTACTATATCTCGGCCACTGACACGCACGTTAATCTCAGACTTGCTCTGTTACATGTATTGCGACAAAGCCCTTCAAACATGACGGGTAAAGGAAATTCGTGATGATTTTCTACGGAAAAGATGGATTGAAAAGCTGCTTGATGGAAGATATGGGTTGAAAAGCTCCTTGACGGAAGAGATGGGTTGGAATAGCTTTTTGATGGAAGAGATGCCTGCGAACCACTCAAGTTCTGTCATAAGAATATGATCACTGAGCGTAGGAACAAGCCAGTTAAGATTTATGTGCTTTCATTTGGAGGACCCCCTGTGAGTGCTAGCGCGTTGAACTTAAAAGGGGTAGGGTCTACCGGCGGAAGTGCTTTTGACCTATTGTGTGCTAGGTGATTTAAATATATCCCAAAATGAAAACAAATGCGACATACGGACGATTTCACCACATCCATTTTACATGTCATCTATTGATCGTTTTCTATTTTCGTAAGCTGTTAGGTGTATTTGCGAGGAAAATTATTTACATAGATAAGACAGTAGTAATAGCCTCATTCACTTCTGTTATTGTTTCGATAAAGGCACGTTGCCGAAATATCAGCACCCCTATATCTCCATTCTCCTGGTTTTTCTCCGAGGAGTGAGACTATACTACTGTCTTATTTATAGAATTACCTGCAGCAGTGAAGGCAGTAGAAATGTTTGGTTTCTTGTGCAAGGAAAAATGTCACGTCAGTTGTGCCACATGAAGATGAAAAACAGGGTGGTGCAAATATCGCATCCAGTTCCTAGCATTTTACGTCAAGCATACCAATGAGGTACGGTGTCCCTTTGGCGGAGGAAAAACGTGGGATTAGCATCTCGGGTGCTCCCCAGAAAAGAAGACATGGCCGAGACGTGTGTGCGGATGGCTTCCATCACAAGGCAGCTCTGTTTGCAGGGAAAGGGCTCAATGCCCACTTACTGGCTGCTGGAGAAGGTGGGAGGCATCAGCCGCGCGTTGGAGATCAACACCCCAGGCTTCTTTGACGCCAACCAGCTGCCTGAGTTCATGAACCGTGACCTCTACAATCAGGATTAAGCCAGCCTGCAAGTCTGATGAACAGGGAATTTCATACGCTGAGCAAAGATGGGGCGACGATTAACACGGTGGTATGATGGAGACGTTTGCCCCTCGATCTTGCTGATACAAAGAGAGGCACCAAACTCTAAGTCCGGTGGTGACGCCACGGTTTGATGTGCAGGTCGCGACCAACACTCGTACCTGTCCAGAGTGTAACACGCTGTAGATGTTTAAGGAAGCTTGGGACCACTTGTTTAAGATGAGGTGCTAGTCACGTGACTCATAGTACCCATATGTGTATTGGAGTGTTTTGCAACCATCATGATCTGCAGTGAGATAGTCTGTTTACAGCCTCGTGGAGTTGCTTGCTGACCGGTGGACTTATTCCACATGCCGAACCAACTACCTGCAGTTACTGCATGAGAAAACTTTGCTTCCAAACAATTTGTGCGAGACGGAGGAAACTGATCTATAGTCCACGCCACGGACTTCACTCAGTCTTTTCTTTCGTAAAACACCCGTGGATATTGCGGCTGCTCAGGCAGCAGCTAAGGAGGCGCGGTGCAATCCGACATCACATGCAATATCAGAGTCCATGTCGCGTGGTTCATTTGACCTAAGTAATCCCCAGGTTTTCGGCATAGCAATGGCTACATTCACATTACGAACAAAAGAGGCCAGTTCTCAGTGCCCCAGGGGATCACTTAGAGCTCACACGGAAACTTAGATTATTCGCGTATGCTTCATTGTGCGACACACGCCATGGGCATCTCTTTCGAGCGGAGCCCTGATGGCTTCCTTTTAACAACAACCACTGTGGCAGAAGTGGGGAAAATCATTTAGGCACGGGCGCAAAAATCGGTCTGTGCAAGAGCACTCTACCTTAAAAGAATTCACGACGATTTTGTACAAGTTGAGGAAAGTAATGCTACTCCAGAGTGTTGCAAGATGTTGAGGTGTACATAAATATCCTCGGAATATTTCCATACATGCGCATTTGCTTAAACATGGAACCAGTCCGTGTGACTAAGGGTACGCATTTTTGCAAACGAATATTTTGCGACCGACATGGCCGCCTATAGGATATCGACATGACCGCCTATAGGACAGTCCATGTCCGTAGTCGTGGTCGTGTCCGTAGGCCAGTTCACACCTTCCGGATTGGCTGAAGAATCCGTCGCGAATTCTGCTGTTAGTCTATTGATGTGGGCTAGAAGTGTCATTTTAAGCCTGCAGACCTGCCAAGCGCGAGTAAACGGACCTGAAGTGGTGCCTCTTCTGTTCGCAAAACTTGGCGACCGCAGAGCCGATCGCTGATTTTGCGGATCTCATTTGCTGCGGAGTAGAGATATCTCTTCGAGCTCTTTTTTAGCCGCGTTTTACGGGTCTGCGGACATACATGTGGCGCATCTAGTTAGCAAAAACTGACGGCTGCAGAATCTACTGCAGATTTCGCAGCCAAGCAACACGATGTAAATGGTGATGAAGTCCATGGCTCGTAGCACGTGCGCTCCAGAGCTTTTGACTTTGAACGATTGCTGACATTTGGCTGGACTCTGCTGAAGTCAAATGCATTCCACGAGTAAAGAAGCATTCCAAGGTGTCGATAGGCACACACACACACACATACAGAGATAAATAAATAAATAAATAAATATGTATATATATATATATATATATATATATATATGTATATATATATATATATATGCAGATCATGTGCATCAATATAAACAGCCTCATCTGGCTTGGCAGGTTTAACAGCAACTGTATTGTTTAATATTATTTTTAGCAGCAGATGCATTCGCAACTGAGTCGCGGCGTCTCGCAGTTATCACGGTTTTCATTTTGACAAAGACGATGACAAGGAGAGAATGCGGGGAGGCTAAGACATGACACGTTGAGTTGGGTAAAGGGATGACACCTCTGGAACAAGGGATTTTGTGACCTGCAGGTGCAAGTGGGGTGTTCGCCTGATAATTTTTTCTCACTTTTTATAGTTGCTGAGGGTGTTTGGAAATTCCAGTTTGGTATGCCCAGTCGTATCGGTTTTTTATCAATTGGATCCGAACCCTTTGAATGGATGGATTTCTGGGATCAGTGCTTACGCTAAGCAGTGCTTGTTGTGTGAGCCCTGACCCCCACTATCCGATCGCGCAATTCCAGGCAACGGCAGAATTAAGTGGCGAAGGCTTAACGTGTCATGATGCTCGGCACGGTCCGTCCTGCCCTCCGAAGTCAACTGACCTTTAGCGCGACCGCTGCCACCGGCCGCAGGCCATACCTGTCGAGGGCAAATAGCGAGCGCCCTGAAGCGACTCGAATCCAACCCGCCACGGGCGGGTGGATCGGGAGGCAGGCGCTCTAACCAATTAAGCCACCGGGACGGCCAAACGGGCGACCGGTTCGTCCCAAGTCCCATTTAATTTCACCTTGCATTATGAAATGATTCATTGAAAATGTTTCTACGTTAAGTGATGATGGGGTAAGAAATGTTGCATGGGACGCGTTGGCGTGCAGGCTTCGCAGGTCAGCAGGGACCGCAGTGGCCATGCAGACGACCGGGACACGCTAGACAGGGGTCGAGTCCCTTGGAAGCCAAGTAATACCCCCAACCGGCCTCATTCCGTTCTGGTGTGTTTGGATGCGTTCCTTGGGTCGTGCTGAAAACATCAAATATTAGTACCACAGCAAACAGTTTCATGACGTTTATAGATCCGCCCAGTTGATAGTATTTACCAAGTGATGACACGGGAAAATGTGCGTAAACACGGTGTAAATATGCTGGTGCCATTCGTCCTATGTCATAATGGTGCAAGCAATGCAAACAAGCGTAGTTCGTCTACGGAAATGGGTGCATTTTCGCTGCGCCTACTTAAGTTTCGTGTTCGTATGTGTTGTGTTATTTGTTGTAAGCACCATGGATGTTTGTAATGGTTTGACTGGTATTCACTTAGTGAAGAACGAAATAGGTAACAAGCAGCAGTGAAAATTTATACCCATGAGAAAATGCCCCGTATTTTTGCACATGGTAGGTAACAGATGTTCTTCGCTGGACCGATCAGGTTAGCTAGTATATGAGGTCTAAGATCGCACGAGCTCAATACCATGCACTGACATGCTTGTCGTTGTACTGCGTGTTGCGGCGCGCGTTGGAACCCTGTCGGAACCCTGCTGGGTTCGAACACTGTCACGGCTCGATCTCAGTTCATGCACAGTGTGTAATAGACGATGTGTGAATGTCGACAATATCTGTCTCTAAGACTGTCTCTCTCCCAAACACTTTCCTTCCTATTTGTTAGACCAGAAGTGGTCAAAGCCAACCAAAAATTGCTAGTCCGTTTCCCGAGAATATCAATGTCAAGTTAAAGTTGATAACGTGAAATCAGTTAAACAGCTTACGGAAGGTGAAGCTAATTCTGTTACATTTTTTGGTATTTTTAAGGACCCGATGCTACTCCCAAATCTCTGAAAACGCCAAAAGCTAGAATGTTGCGTTTGCCGTCTAACAATATAACAACTTATATCTTAAGCTATGAGTCTGCGTGCGTTTTATAAATTGATACCATTGTCATAAAGTGCTTTGTTTCAACCCACTTATGCCATCATTCCCTGGACAATTTAACTATCCTAGCAGAAGCCTCTGATTGTACTGAATGCTTGATGACACGCTTATAATTACATCTGCAACCAGCACACCATATGTGGTGTAAGAGCTAACTAAAATCATGGTGGTCGTTTCAGAGAGAAAATTGGACACGAAACACAGATATTAACCTGCGTTCATTCGGAGCCCGAGAGGACCGCTGTGCTCCCGCCGTGCGCGGAACACGGCGGCAGGACAGCGGGCCTCTGCGTACCGAGCGGTGCCGTGCGCGGAACACGGCGGCAGGACAGCGGTCCTCTGCGTGCCGAGCGGCGCCGTGCGCGGAACACGGCGGCAGGACAGCGGTGCTCTGCGTACCGAGCGGCGCCGTGCGCGGAACACGGCGGCAGGACAGCGGTGCTCTGCGTACCGAGCGGCGCCGTGCGCGGAACACGGCGGCAGGACAGCGGTGCTCTGCGTACCGAGCGGCGTCTTTCATGAATGAGCTGCCTGTGGATGCTAGACGACTGGATTCAACAAGTTTCAGGCGCGTTGTCAGGTCTTTTTTGTGCGATAGGGTTGTCTCATACCGTTTATGCGTGCAGGCATTTATGTGCTTTTTATCCCTTATCACTTTCCGTCATTTTTTAACGTACTGTCTCGTCTCTCACACTAATAATATGTTATAGCCACGTATATATGTGGGATGTCAGCTGATGTCAAATACAACTACAAATACAACCGCACTCAGCCGGGGGAGGTTTAACTCCCCTGGGATCCCAACTTCCAGGCGTCGTAAAATAAAAATAAAGTGCCTTTGCAGGGTTCTCGTCAAATTATGGATAATGCACACCACATGATTTGGCCTAGGCCAAATCTGAGATCACCATAGGTTACGGAAGACCAACACGTTCGTTCTGACAGATGCGGTTAAAACATATGTTAACAGGTCAGGACCGGGTTTGAGGGCGGAAAAGTAAGCGTTAAGACTGTGGAGAGTTCATTCTGACCATTTGTATCCCTCGCAAGGGTAAGGTCAGGTCATGTCACCCTTCAAAAGTTGTTACCAGTAGCCTACAAGAACCATACTTGTTTTCTTCCACAAGTTTATTCCGTTAGGCGCAGCTGCGGGAGAAAGTATTCTAGACTCACATAGCCTACCAGCGACCCAAATTTAAAATTTAAAATGCCATCCGGGTCCAAGTGACCAGCAGTGTTTTTTTGTGGCCAGAAATAGTGCCTTTTTCATATACAGGTACTCAAAGTCAGCATGGCTCTTGTATACATAAGATATGGTCCCTTCGATCCTTGGTAATGCATTTGTAACAAACTGAGAATAGGCACGTTTTCACATGGAATTATACGTCATCAGCTTCACAAACACGATATAAAGGCGACTACACACGTTGCACTCGTTCATCTTGCCTCTCCAATTCTGGCAACAGAGATCATAGACCTTGCATATCCTCAAGTGACCTGTTGTGACCTCATTATGCATTATATGATATCCCAGTTCTCCTTACATACAATACTCTCTTATACGTACATATTAGTACTCTTTTCCTGACATGAACGCCAAAACCACACAAAATAC